GTACATACCTGAAACATACATTACTGTCCAAAATGAATGCGTATACGCATATCTACCGCCTAGGAATCTCGGGGAACGTTGTTCCACAGGCTTCAACCATCCTCGAAATGCCGAGTATTAATTAGCGTGGCGCAGAGAGACCGTGACTAATATAGCCACCAAGAGTCATTTGGTCTATATCAGAGTCCAGTATTTTTTCAGATTATACATCCATCACTTCCTCGTATATGATGGCACCTGTGATGGTACCATTAAGGCTTGACAGTAAAGCCCTAGAAAACATATAAACGCCCTTCCTCAAATGTTTGTTTGGAAAGAAAAATACCGAAACCAGTTTGAGACGTCACCAGTTGCAATGTTTGAAGCATAAGTTGCTGTTTTGCACACGAACGCTTCAACTGACGTGCTGCGATGTACCAAGACTAGAACAGTAGCGTAATTCCATTCTGTGGAATCAAAAATGTTCGAGCGCTAACTAAATCAAAGCCTAAGAAATGTGTCTCACTTTCTTGAGTATTACAATTTACTGAACTGGAAAGTCTTTTGAAACCTTGTCTCTAGCAGCTTAAAAATGCATCGGAAGTAACGGAAAACACTGTGCACACAACGTAAGCATCCAAGCTGCGGTTAGGCTTCTGGAGGTTAATTGTGGTTCCCCACGAAACCCCACGGAAGAAATCCGCCGTCATTCAAAAGCCTACTGATTTGACAGCTACGGAGAAAATAAAAGAGGTAAAGTATTAATGCTATTGTTCAAGATGATTACTATTGCCCTGGGATTACAGTTGCCTAGCAACCAATCCCGAGCCACCCATTACACATGCAGGCTTCCAGTAATGCGCGTTCCAGGGAATCCTGAGTTACGATAGGAACAAATTCCGATAGAAATCAATTGCAAGCATTTCCATTTATGCCAGTGCACAATCACCGGTAAACCAAGTGATCTATGCCATTCATGAGCACGGGTAGTGACACACTTTGAAACAATACAATGGAACGACGGTATCGTACAGGTAATAAAACGAGGCTTGAAATATAAAAGTTCCCAGCAAGGTAAACTGCCCACGTATGAAATCACAACGATGTTGACATGAACACATGTAAATCCGCCTACTCCGATTGCGTGGGTGGCTCATAAAGACAGTCGTGTTTGCGTTTTTTCGTCACCCGATAGACTGGAGTCATGTCAACTACTGCAAATGATGTAATTCATCCTCGATCCGTATTTTTAGCAATAGATAACATGGGCGCAATAATGTCGAGAATCGGAAGACAACTCCACGGCTGGCACATCCAAAGAAATAAAACATTCTTGCGATAGCTCAAATAGCTACGTTGTGTGACCAACTCCAACTAGTGCTGGCAAAGATGAATGGAGTCGTCAAGATCTGATATACTATAAAGCCAGCCTGTAGACATCGATTACTTTCGTTCTACGGTCGTAGTTGGTATAGAAATGGAACAAGCCCTTCACAATTTTGCTGCGTTCCGCTGTAATATTAGGATTAATACACAACATTTTTTCAAGTTCAAAGGACTGAACTCATGGATGTTCACTGTAAACTGAATGGCGATTTAAACTGGATCGCAGTTTACAATGCAGACAGGGAAAACTTCAGCATCCAAGAGCGGAAACGATATGTTTTTTGAGACGCTGCTGTACATTTCATTCAATAATTCAAATGAAGTAAACGGAATGCATTCGAAATCCTATGCAACCATTGATCTGTGATGGAACCACGATATGAACCCATTTTCGTGCGAGAAATAGCTATTTTGGAAAGTTACAAACTTATAGAAGCCTACTTCATGTGATGGCAAATAAAGGAATTTCTACAAAACGTCGGCGAGCCAGTAATCTCACTGTTGTCATCAGTTCGGCCTCTTGGATGCGTTTGTCCTTGAGCTCCGCCACTAATGCAGATGCTGACTAAGTCTTGTTGAGGATAAATTGCCCCCTCGTTCTCAGTAGATTTCTGTATTATATCGCTCTAATTTTCAGCTGTTTTATGTCCATCCATGAAGGAAAATTGTGTAATCAACGAGGAAGTTTCACTCGAAACCAGCACCGGGTTGCACTGAATAGCTACTGAAAAGACGTTAAAAGAATAATAAAAACCTGAAGAAAAGAGGCTTCTCTACCTGATCACACAAAGGGGCTAGTTAAACAGAGATTTTCCAAATTATACTCTGCATCATTTGTTTCGGTCAATCTGCGCACTGCATCCCCCCACTTATTAGCCGTCCGCATGTGAACCGTTTATTATGACTAAGTTCACTGCCCTGTTGTTGACATACAAATCATCAAATGCATCACTTCACGGTGGGCTATATTTACTTGCAATACACATTTTGACAACTCATTTCAGTATGCATATAGTAGTAAAGTTTCCCCTTTGTTTAGGCTTGATCTTCCATCCAATGAATAGTGCCGCTAAAAAGATCGGCTTTGCTTACTTATGTGTCTTAGTAATTACTGCTTCTCTCAAGGATGCCAACTTTTCGGTACTACACAGTTACCCTTACAAACAAATGAACAGGCTTGGAACACCAGTTTGGGAGATACAAATAAATGAAATACCTCACTGGTTCTGGTTTAATTCGCCAGCGTGACCGAAACGTGGTTTGTCAGACATTTGGTTCACAGCAGTTAGGGGGGTGAGAGGAATTTCTCCCCCTCCACATACATAAATAGACGTTGGAAACGACTGAATTGAAAGCTGTTCAAGTGGTGGCATCCAGCTATGCAGCTTACCCTAGGACATAGTTGTTGGGTAGTTGCGACATCAGTTCACTACTTGCACTCAGAGTTGTGCCAGTTATCGTTGGAAGTGAGTTCCGTGTCCGGCATATGGGCTGCAAGATAAGCAGTATGAATACGCTGGCTCTTACACTTTAAATGGCAGTTAATTACCGGTCTCTTTGCGAGGGTTTGTTACGTTTGACGTTGATACATGAGGATGGACTTATTCAGAAGCTTGCACCCTGTACTTAGGTCAGCCTTCAATCCTCGGCATCTGTTGTTGACCAAGTAAACTGCAAGAAAGCTGAACTTGGCTCCCAGCATCTTTGGTTCGAATCGCCAATTCGAAAGATACTCGGGCAGGATATACACTCAAGGATGGATCGCAAGATGTTCAGTAGTCTGGGGAGTTTCTGTTTGGTCGAATTTCCCGAACGCGCTTCATAGGCCACTGAAGCGCAGTTGCGTTTTCAGCAATAACCGAACTTATGGGTAGGCTATTTCAAAGCACTGGTTGTCTGGTTGGATTACGACGTGCAATCTCAATGTGTACCATGATTCACGTTAAAGTGAATATTGGTCAATTCGAGCACTACGATCGCAGCCGTTGCAGTTGAAAATCGGTTGTTGCCCACCCGAAAGCACTGCACTCCACGACATATTTCGACCTTATTTGACCCAATCAGGTAATGACAGCCAGGAACATTGGTATGTTACTTGAAAACTCTGTCTGCACTTATCCTGTCTGCGTAACCGAGATAACTGTCTGTGGGAAACGGGCTTGGAAATATGTCTCCAGGTCTGAAATTCGTCAGTGCTCTGTAGTACCTAGACTTACCATTTGGATCCATTTTACTAAACACTTTATGGTCGAGCATATGGAAACAGCAGCGACGTAACTACTTTTGCCGCCCGAAGCGGTGGTAAAATTTTCACCCTAACTGAAGCTAGAATAGGCGCGTGAAGGCTACACAATCGACTCAGATTACAGTGCATCCTAGTTTTCGATGAAATGGATAATTGTTTTGGACACTGAAACAAATGTGGTGAAGTGCTCAAAATGAGACAAGTAAGGGGATTTTTTGGAAGTACACTTGCACAGAGGTGACACGGCGTAGATGTTTTGTTGGTTATATAGAATAACAGTAACAGCTTCAGCGCTCAGATCATCAGGATAATTTCCTTGTTATATTTGGCATCGAACCATAGACAGTGTTACTAAGGCCACGCTCTGTCACCAGCCGCCCCGGGGAGGACCGCGCCCCCGTCCCCCTATGCTACGCCTCCGTATGGAAACCTTGTTAAAGTCATCTTACAGCGATGTACTTATGCTTACTGTCTGTATACCCTAACACATCTTAAGATGTAAGAGAGGAGAAGCGAATTCTAGCTGAGTATTGTCACCACATCGTGTATGAAAATGGGTCTGTAGTTGGCATGATAGCTTGATGCTTTGTGTTTTATTGTGCCGAATGTGGAGATACGAATGCTTAAATTTATGTCCAATAGGGATATTGAAATCTGTTCAGATCAAGGCAAACTAATCAACTATTTTTTGCTCCGACTTTTGAAAAGGTAAATGCCGTAGTCGAAGCGAGAACTGCAGGCACCAATATCCCCGGACTCACTCTAACGTGACCCAGATGTAGGACACATGCGTAGTGCATAAATGAACACGGTACCATAGCACAGCGGTTTTGAAACCCCATGGATCACATGAGTAACTTCGCAATACTTGAGCAAACTGGATTAGATAAGTTGGAAACACGATTTTCCCATTTTTTTGAATAGGGGTGACGAATCTATGCTTCTACATAGTAGGAGCATGCGACTTAGCGAGACATTGTTGAAAAATCTGAGTCTCAGATTCCATCACCTTCTCGGTAGCCACCTCCATTGAGCTTAGGTTGAGGTCATATACATCTGGAGAGCTGCGTAAGAACAATACAACATCTGTGGCCACAAAAGGTAAGTGCTCAAATTCAAATGACTACGTGATCTATGTAAGACATGTGCACTGACGGTGCTTTTTGAAGTGTAGAAATGAGTTGATGATTTTGAACCATCGGCCACATTCTGCCACATGCACGTAAAAAGATAAGAATAACACGGCCAGCTGTGAAGAAAAAGATTACTATTTAGGTTGGGTATATTCTGCATTATGGAAGATTCCACAAGGTGATTGAAACAACATTTAACGAATTTTAAAGTCATCATCCGGATAATAACGGAAGGATACACCAAGTTCTAAGCTTACTGTGGTGATGGCTGCAACTTCGTTTGATGACAGTTGCCATTGACAACGCAGTGCAGGACCAAGGATTGAAAGCAGAAGCATTTCCATCGCATCCGCTGACTGTGAATGAAAAAATGGAACGTTCGGAACAAACAGGACTGATATTTGCATAGAAAGTTATGTTTCGTAAGCTAATCACGTGCAGTGCTTCTGTTATTCAGTTACACCCATTAAAAATAAATTACAAGCATAACGGATCCTTCAAGACAACAATGAATTACAAAGACAGATGTTAGCTCCGTTTCGGTGGAGAATTTCTGATTGTGCCTTACTATTTCCATTAACACACACCAACGTAGTATTAAAATTCGTTCTCATAAACATGACGTAATCCATTGTGACTCAGGGGTGCGCATGAAGCGAGGTGGAACTTCCAGCGGAAGTCACTGAGATCTTTACGCCACAGTGATGAACACACAGTTTGAGTGTACACAGTGTGGATCAATTGTGAGACCAAAGCAGAGACGAAGCCGGCACATGCCATCTCATTTCCTTCCACAAAGGCCGTCGTTATCAGCAACTTCACATGGATTGCGCTGAAATTCATATAGATGTTGAGAAGCTGCACTATACCATGTCAGTGAATCAGACTGGCGTTACACTCAACCCTGATCTTTCTTGGTAACTCCATATGTGTGAGGTTTTCACAAAAGTGAGGGGGCTTTCCTCCTACGCTGCGCGTTTCCGAGCCTCCTCTCCCTCCCGCTACTTACTACTGCGATGTATGGAAGCAAGTTGCTTGCCCCACTGGACCTATTGTTAACCTGTGTCATTTCCTGTATTCTGAAGGAAACACTTTAGAATATTATATAGATTGTTGCCGCAATTGAATCGGTGTAGTGACATTTGAAACCCGACCACAGTTGACTTCCTTGTGTTGACTTACACAAGTTCATGGAAAAAGCTTCCATCAAAATAGTCACCGATGCAAGTCACCATCTTCATGGCACAACGTCTGACTGTGTATCAATTTCCTTAATCACACAATAGTAGAGATACAATTATGCGCGTAAATGGGCTTACCACTTATCCGTAGTATTTGACGTGTTCCTTGTGCAACCACATCTCAGTCGCTAGGGTGATTACAAGCAAGATGACACTGTAATCAGATTGCTGTCTATAGCACGTATTAATTTGTTCTTTCGCAATGTTGAGATAGTGTCTACCAACCGAAAATTCATCCTCCTTCAGGAATTGAAAGTTGGATTGGACACTCTAAAGCAGATAACTAAAAATAGGATCATTGAAATAGTGACGAATTCCGACAAGACTCAGCAGTGAGGGGTTAGTAAGCTCCTACTCATGAACGCGAAATACCTGCGTTCATACTATACGCAAGCAGTCGCGTTGAGTGAGAAGTGAATGAGGGTGTCGCACTTGGAACTAGATTTTTCCAGTGGCCAAGATCAAGGGGAGGCCACTACGTTAAGTATGCGCACAAGTGGATCCCACTACGCATTGTTCTTCCTGCGTTCCTGAAGACGGGTGTACAGAAAGAAAAGTTTATCGAACAGCCGATCTGCACTCGATCTTCGCTTCAATAATCAATTACGGGAGAGACAAGTGTAACGTTGTGGAAGCAATATCGAACAGTCAGATTGCTGATTAAGTTCAGGAACATCAACCATCGTGCGGCAGGAACGAACGTAATAATGATCATACAAATTACACTGTCGTGCGACAATTTACCCACTCTAGGTCCGGACCCAAGACTGTACACAACAGATGGGCTGAGTAGCTACTTGCTAGAGCTCAGTCACAACAGTAATTTGAGAGTCCACCATCTCAAGCTGGCAGAGCAGTACAGTCGTTTACAATGCTGCCGGATTTTCTTTTCTGTATGCTTTTGCAGAACAAGGAATGCCCTAACGGAATCTGTCATCAGTGCTCTGACGCTGTTAGGACTCCAAGCCCGAGTTCACGGTGCTCTCATTTCGCTTCAACATTCCACATGACTTCAGCGCCCATGCCTAAAAACGGATGTCTGTTCGAGATTTCACGACCGCTCAACTCTCAGAATTCATGCTGCATTTTTCACATTTTCTGTGTTCACAAAGAGGCGGCGCAATTTTCACTGACAGTCCATTGTCGTGATTACTTATGGACATACAATTGATTTGCAGTTTTTGGTAACTCTACTTCAGTGAGTGCACTGGTGTGAACATACTCTGCTGACAATTCTTCTTACTTTGCACTATTTATCATGACGACCGTATGAGATCTGTTAAGCTCTCGTTCTTTTTGCCCGTGCAAAATCCATGTTTCATTGTTTCAGAACCGAATATTCGTCAGTGCATATTAAAGTTAGTACTTGGCTCATATTAAATAGTTTTCCCAAGTAACTGTTCTGCACATTGATAAGCGAGAGCTAGGTTTGCCTTTGTGTCTGCGTCAGTATTGGGGTTCAGTGTCATAGTAGTAAACAGCGACCAGCCGAACCTGGTTGTTAGTTGAGTAACTGTTCTCCCACAAATAGTATATCTATATAGCCTGTGTCGCACCAAACAGCAATTAAACTGAAAAAATAAAGTGATGTCTCATTTCTATGTACACAGTTTATGTGTGTAGACCGAGACGTGATTGCAAGCGGCTTCTATAGGACATTGGTATTGAAAAGCATTTTGAACACATGGAATAGCGAATATCCCAAAGTGAATACACCTCATCCGAATACTGAGTAAATCCGTACAATGAGAGAGATCAGTTACGTATCCCGCCCCTATGTGATTTGTCACTAACAACAAATAGGTAGAAAAACCATTGCTTTTCCGTACATACAGCCAGAGGAAAAAGAATGTAGTCGGTTCACATCAACTGAGCCGTTTTAGACAAAGCACGGTGCAAAGTAGTGTTGCATTGCTTCGATGCGGATAATTTGTAATATGCCACCTCAATTAGGATCCTAGTTAGCACTCGGTCAGTACCTAAATCGCGTGAGAAGAGCTGAGCATGATAAGCAATAATTCAGCACTACAAACAGGCTGGTGAGTAAGCCATTAAGTAAATAGAAAGACAGATAGCTAGTTAGACAAATAAATAGAAAAATAGTAGATAGATAGATATGTAGGTAGGTAGGTATGTAGATAGGCCGAGTCCATGCTTCTGTATTTAGATTATGGCTTCACCATTGGTCCAGCCAACAGCTGCATCGCTGCACGATCTCTCCAACTTCTCGAAGTCTGTCGAGCAATTCTTGCTAACATTAAATGCCATTCAGTATGCAAGACTACTAACGCTGAGCTCAAACAGCTTCTCCGGGAAGATCGCAAAGCCTGACGCACGCAGCAGGTCATTAAGACAGAGCAAGCGGCCGACTCGGAGAATTTCCGTATGCTTTTCCTCCTGATCCGATGTGTTGCCGGAAAAAGGCTGACTGTAAGCGAAGTGTTATACAAAACCAATGGCGAGCCAATTCACCGTCAAAAATGCCGCCTTGAATGTTAGACCGAGCGTTTTGAGCAGCAGTTCAATTGGCCAGCAGCTCCAATTAGCTCCCATAGTGAAGTCCAGAGCGCTCCCTGCTGTGTGGACACTTCACCACCATCCGAGGCTGAGGTTGCCTACGAGCTTCACCTCTTAAAGTGTTACAGAACGCCTGACCTAGATGAACTCACCCCGACTGTTTCAAAGATGGCGGCCCATCACATGCACAGGAGTTAACTTTTCCAAAAGACCTGAGCCAATGACGATATCTCATCTGATTGACACCTAGTGGATATAGTGCCCGTCTTCAAAAAGGGTGCCGAAACTAAATGCGCCAACCCCAGAGGGGTTAGTCTCATCTGTGTTGATTCAAAAATGCTCGCAGCTCTGCTTTTAAGAAGGCTCAGGCTGGTGCGAGAACTGAGCATACGTGAAGAGTAAGCCGGGTTCCACTCAGGTCTGATTTGCATCGATCAAATGTTTACACTCCGTCAAATACTCGAGCGTCGTAAAACATTTGGCTAGTCAACTGTCGTGTCTTCTCAGACGCACGATCCGCGTTTGAATCAGTCGACAGAGCTGCTCTCTGGAGTTATCTACTGAGCATGAGAATGTCCGAGAAGTAAGTCACATTACTTCAAGCCAGCTACTCTCAAATCTCGGGCCGAGTGCACGTGTACGGCGGAGTTTCGCCCTCTTTGGTATCACCCATGGCGTGAGACAGGGTTGACCAGCATTCCCCTTCTTGTTCCCTTTCGCTAGAGATAAAATCTTGGAGAGCGCTCTAGAGGACTGAGAACTCATCGGCATCATGTTGCATCCGGGGGACCGACTTCGTGATCTGGAATATGCAGACATGGCCGTAATCGGCGATTTCTCACAGGTCGCCCGAAATGTTCCGTGTAGCTGGGAGATGTCTGTCACCCAGTTTGGAATGACCATCGCCTCAGCGAGATGCAGAATATTCTTGCAGGACTGGGTAGGCGCTGCTCTTACCCTTCTATGTCATTCATTGGAAGCAGTGGACAGGTTCGTTTACCTCGGAAGCTGCCTCAGCGCTAATGGTTTATCGGACGAGGTCTCTTTACGTGTCTCCAAGGCTCGGGTTACTTTTGCCAATCTCCGCCATCGCTGGCGTAGAGGCGATCTGAGTCTAGATCTGAATAGCCGAGTTTAAAGTTCCACATTGATAACGGTTCTGGTCTATGGCTACGAGACGGACGGTCCGCTCATAGGTTGATAGCCTGTCTGCTTTTGATCACCACTACCTTCAGAGCATTGCTAGTGTACGATGACATCACATTAGTAACGAAGATGTTCAACGGAACATTTTCCGATCATAGAGACCTCTCCGGACGATGAGTAGCATAATTTCTCTGCACAGACTTCGGTGACTTGGACATATTCTTCGCATGGTTACTCATCGCATCCCTTTCTAACAAATGGCGTGTTGAAAACGATGACAACCAGACTTCTGGAATGCGCAAGTCTTGAGGCCAGGAATCAACTTTGAGTCAAAAGAATCCATCACAAATTTAGATTACGATAAGTAATCTCAATTGGGACCCTAATTTTCTTTGGCGTGAACCTCAGTAACTACGATGACTTGGAGCCCATTCAAAACG